AAAAGATAATAAAAAAATAAATTAAACCGCGATTACAGTGAATCCTCATTTAAAAGACATTACAGATACAGACAAACAGATACAGGCATTAAAAAAAAATCAAACAATTACGAATAAAAACGTATTGGATAAATTTTCATTTTCGAGAATAGGTAAGTCTATCCTCCATAACCGAACTAATGTACTTGTATTTCAAACGAAATAAATTTATTTATTTTGAATTTTGGTGAAAATAAGAAAAAACTTTTAGTCTCGGTAATAAAAAAAAATAAATAAAAAAAGTCTTATAAGTGAACAAGGACGAAATTAGAAAACGGCATGCTAGAAAACAAACTTCGACTTGGAACGAGGCAGATAGGTAAGCAGACAGGTGCGGGCATGTACCACGTTTCATTTCGTTTCGGAAGAAGAGACATGTAAGGTTCTCGTTCCGCAGGACTCGTTTTCTCGTTCGCGCGGGGCAAGAAAACCGCATTAAGGACGCGCATATGGAACCTGTGTCACGGAAGGAAATCGGATTCGCGCGCGAGGCATCTGATCGTGGCTCATTTAGGTAATCACGCCGACAGAGGGAGGAGAGAGAGAGAGAGAGAGAGAGATTCTTCTCCCACCCCGCGTCGGATTCGTTTAACCGTTAACCATTACAGCGAAGCGGCGACGCGAATCCAACATGGTGGATCACGTTAGCGCGGCACGTGTGAGGCACGACAGAGGCATGCTACGGGCGGCCATTCGGTTGCGTCACCACGTCGAGCGCCCACCGCCACCGTCGTGCGGAGAGAGACAGGCGCAAACAATAAGAGTGATTATAATGATAATAATAAGCATGGTAATGAGACGATGACTCACCATCAGCCGGCTGTTGGAAGTTGACATATGCGTAACCGAGCGAGCGGCGGGTGATCATGTCGCGGCATACGCGTATCGACAGCACGGGTCCGGCTGACGAGAATTTCTCGAACAGCATCGCCTCGGTGATGTCGGTGTGCAGGTCACCCACGTAGAGGGAAGCCATAGGGTAGTTGGGCGCTCCAGGATTCATGGCGGCGGCACGAGCAGCTAACGGTTGCGGCGGCGGTTGCGGAATGTCTCGCTCGTGGTAGAGAGACAGAAGGACTTTTCTCTTATTTTTCACGACGGTTTCGCTCCCCGCCTCCTCCTTCTCCTCCCTCTACTTCGCAATATGGCTTTGTCCTCGGCGAGACTCGAACCCTCGTGCCTCGCGTCTCGTTGCTCACCACGTCACGCACGCAATTTCCGTATTCTTCCTGTACGTCTTACCGTTTTCTTCCTCCTGAGACGAGTACTTTTTTATTTTTTTTTTTTTTGCCCGTGAGTAGATATCCGTCTGCTCTCACTGCTGACGACGTAGACTGCTCACGCTCTCGCTCGTATGCTCGCTTCTTTCACTTCGTTTTTTTTTTTATCACCACGCTGTTACCCGAGGTTACAACGGTTTTCGCCTACGGTTTTGCGATTTTTTTGTATGCTTTGAGATTTTATACTTTTTTGGGTTTTCTAGAGGAATTAGTATGACGAAATTGATGTTGGTTGTGTGCCCTATTTCTAGGAAGAGGGAACCGCACACAACCACACCTTGAAAACGACACTCCTACTGAGGCAGAAAAGCGTCGCGCTGCCACTTGCGCCTGCTTATATACCAGCGCCGCGCAACGCCACTATCCGTACATTTCCGGCGAAATAGTCCCTTCGAGCCTGTCAGCGCCATCTATATCTCGAAATATCTATAGCATTTCGATTGCATTTCGCAATCGACCGCGTTGTCGGCACATATCGTAATGCGTCGTTCGTCTCATCTTCGTTTTTCCGTTTTCTTTGAAAGAGAAAATTTGGCAGAAAAGAAAAATTGTTCTCGTCGTAAAATCACCATACTGCGTGCGTTGTAAACTCGGCTTGTTGTTCGCTTATGCGCCGCAGGCACTTCCGGTCGGGCGCATTAAGTGCACTCTTTCTCAATGACTTTCACCTTTTCTTACTTTCTTCTCAACGCTCGAACGTTATTGGTTCGTCCTTCATAGCTGAGTACAGTTTCGGCTGCGTTCCAATATTCACTGCCAGTACTGAAAGTATATAGTTTATGTCACGTATATTATAGATTTTCAGAGTACTGGTAGTGAATATCGAAACGGAGCCTTCGTCTTTTCTCCTTCTTAACGATGTCCGATTGCGTTGATATTTTCGTTGATATTTTATATTTTATAGAAGATAAAACGCGTTAGTGTCGGTCCACAATAGGTGATTTAAGCTTTAAGAAGTAAGAAATTGACCAATTATAATCGAATATGAAAAGAATAATCGATTATGATTGGTCAATTTCTTACGACTTAAAGATTAAATACTTACTGTGGACCGACACTTACGCAGCCGCAGAAAACAAACTGTCTACGACCTTTGTTTCTAACATGACGAAAATGCATTTATAAAAGGAGACGCTGGAGCACGACTATCTCTTCATTTATCGATTTAACATTTAGGCGTTTCTTCACTACTGTTATTAATTTCTTTCTCGATCATGATTTTGCACGCGTCAATTGGCGATAACATATATACGTACAATTTACACATATTATTGCGTAATCGATTACGTAAACAAGGATTATCGCTCAAAACGATATGCGTGTCAAAACGCGATCTCAGATCAAAGTTTGAGCTGTTCCCGTGCGCAAATATTTAAATATAACAATTTCTTCTAAAATATATTATATTTATCAACAGATAGATAGATACATTATATACAGTTTATATTATATCAACAGATAGATTAATAATTTTAATTTTAATTTACGTCTTAATTTACTTCTTATCTCTTTCAGGTCTAATTATATATGATAAAGAATAAAGTTAAACCGAGATTAAAATTGACAAACATTGTTAAAAGTAGATATTTGCTTACAGAGAGACTTTATGTTACATAGAAACAAGAAAACATAAAGTTTCTCTCTACATTTCTTCTTTTATGAAAAACATTCAAAATTTTTTCAATTTTCTCGGAGAAATCATCATACGTTTTTTTTCCTAATAACCTAATGTGTTTTTCCCTTAAGATTATCTTTGTAGAAATTAAAATAGAAAAAATTCAGCTAAATTCAGCTTGCCCTAAAGTTACAGTTCCTTAGCTTGCCAGGGCCGTATCGTCATGGGTCTATGATAACTACTGAATGCACGTCGCCATTTAATTTTCGTACAAGTTGATCAATTTGCTGGCAAGATCCATCAAATTTTCACGGGATTCTATTATCTCTATTATCTCTGTTATCGCGACTCCGAAAATGAGCAGGAAAATGAATCAGTTGATCAGTAAATAATCAATTTTGTATACTAATCTTTAATGAAATTTCGATATGCATTTGTTTTTTTACGCGAGCAAATTCTGATGAAGTTTCTTATATAACACATTTACTTCGTTTCAGCTAGCGGCTTCAGGAAATGGTGCTACGATCTCAGTGGATATAATAAATTAGGTAATAAAAAGTGACATTTTACATCATAAATTTATATAAAGAATTTATATAAAGAAGAAAACGATAATATTCTTGACCTAACTTCTAACCTAACTTTGTTGATACATTTTTCTTGCTTAAAGACTTCTTAATCTGCTTTATTAGCCTATTAGAAATAAATGTTAGATGTATTTGAAATAGCATCTAAAGTATATTATAGCTACTTTTCCAATTATATTGCCTGAATCTAGGGACAAAAGTTTGACATATAGCTTTCTAACATACTGATTCAATATGTATGTATATATATATATATATATATATATATATATATATATAAAA